CCCCAAAACCCCAAAACCCCAAAACCCCAAAACCCCTTTTAAATCTTTTATAATAATTAATGGATACAACTGAAATTACAAGAGAAGCTAGTCATGCAGGTTCTTGGTACAAAGATGATCCCCAAGAACTTGAAGATGAGCTTACTGATTTCCTAAACCTTGCAGATAAAACTTCTCCTGAGGGAAAGTACCTAAAAGGGATAATCGGGCCTCATGCAGGAATAATGTACTCTGGCAAATGAGCTGCTTGGGCCTACAAAAATATTGACCCTTCAATTTATAAGAGAGTATTCATTCTTGGAGGAGCACATATCTATGATATTCCAGGGGGATGTCTCACTCTTTGTTCAAAATATGCGACTCCTTTAGGTGACATTAGAATCGATACAGAAACTACAAAGATTTTGTCAGAGCAAGAAGGACTTCAATATTACGGGAAGAAATATGATGAGCATGAACATTGAATTGAGCTTCATCTCCCTTACATAAAGAAAATTTTTGAAGATAAAGACATTGGACTTGTCCCTATCATGTTTGGAGCTCTCACATTTGAGGAGGAGAAGAAGTTTGGAGAAATTTTGGCAGAATATTTAAAAGATCCTGAAACCCTCTTCATTGTTTCTACAGATTTCTGCCATTGGGGTGCTAACTATAACTTCTATCCCCATGACAAAGCTATAACTGAAGATATCCAAGAGTATGTTGAGCATCTAGACAAACAAGGTATGGATATAATTGAAACAAATAATGGAAAAGAGTTTGTCGAGTATTGAAACGAAACTAAAAATAATATTTGTGGAAGACATCCCATAGCTGTATACCTTGAAGCCTTAAAAGCTGCTGGAATGAATGAAACTACCGAAACAAAGTTTGTTAATGTTGACCATACTATGCAGCTCAAATCCAAAGAGGATAGCTCAGTAACCTACGCATCAGCATATACCATCTTAAAAGAGTAGATTCAATGCATAAATATCTTAGTGGGGTTTTGGGGTTTTGGGGTTTTGGGG